TTTTGGAAAAACTGAAGAAAGAAATCGAAGAGGCCACACTTGAAGAAGAAGGTTCTGTTTCACCACGATAATGCCAGAATCACTGAACAAAAAATAAACGAACTTAGCTTCCAATTAGTTCCACATTCACCGTACTCACCTGATTTGGCCCCCAGTGACTTCCACCTTTTTCCAAATTTAAAATAATTCTTGGTTGGAAAGAGATTCCACTCAAATGACAAAGTCATCTCTGAAGTAAACGAGTATTTTGCACACCTTGACAAATCGACCTATTGTAATGGCATAAAAAAGCTAGAACATCGCTGGAATAAGTGCATTGCTAACAAAGGAGACTACATTAAAAAATAAAAAAAGTTTTAACATTATTTGGTTTGTTGTTCTATTTGAGGCTGTGAACTTTCCGAACAGCCCTCGTAAAACACACACATCAACAAAAAAAATATTGGAGTAGCCCAAGATATAGCCAAAGATTGCAGCGGCGCCACAGCACTAGCGAAAATTTAAATTTGCCGTCTGGAATTCTTTCAGATAACTGATGTTTCGGATAACCGACTTTCAAATAAACAACGCTCTACTGTATTAAAATTTCTGTAAAAATTTCAAACCTGTGATTCAGTTTTTGATAATCCCTGTGAAGCAGAATGTCTGTTTCTAGGAGCACCAGCACCTGGTTTACCCCAAGGATTCCATTCTTGCATTTCAGCTAAAAATAAAAATAAATTATTTTCATAACTGAGTAAGATAATAACTATATTATTATTAAATACAAACAGAAAAATATCAAATAGACTGATAAAATATAAATTTTTTAGTTCCTTTATAAACATTGCATTCAATTTCAATATTTTCCTTTATAAGAACTTAACATGCATCATTGCATGTATAGCTGTTTTTATCATAAATTCACTTAGTTCTTACACAATGATAAATAATGATGTAATGTTTATGAAAAGCAATTTTACTTTAGAATAACATTAAATTTAAAAATAAAAACACATTTAACAAATATTATAATTATTTAATTTTTTCTTTTTTTCTACATAATGTACAGAAAAATGCTAAAAATTTTACTGGTTCCATCTATTCAATCACATGTATTTAATTAATTTACCTATAAGAATTATTAATAAATAATAAAAATTGAGTAAATAAATTTGAAATAATGTTGAAATGAATATTTCTAATTATATTCAAATATAAAAAGTCTTTTGTTATAAAATTAAAACTTCTTTACGCTTTATTTATAAAAATTATAATCAAACAGTTTGGATGCATCTTCAATTGTTTGGAATAATTTTTTTTTCTTAAACTTATTTTTATTCACTGAAAAACTATCAAAAATGCTAAACAAATTAGACAAAAAGTTTGTTTTTCTAAAAAGCTCACCATGCTCCTTTCCAAGCTCATTCAAATTATAATTTTGTCATATTGTAAAACTGAGGTTCCAGCTTATACATTTGAAATGATATAATTTTTTTTATTATGGTTATAATAAAAAGTAGTGCAAAATTTTAAATACCTCTTTCTTTTTCCCACTGCAAGCGTTTTTGATCAAGACGACTCATTGGAATCGGCCTGCTAGATGTTGAAGGTTGTGAAAGTGTTGATATTTGAGAAGAATCTTTCTCAGAATTTTGAATTGTAGAATCAGAACAGGAATGATGAGAGAGAATATTAAATGCTGGACAATTTGATTCACTGCTAAATACATTAGAAAAATAACTCAAATTTTCTTACATGTTAATTATTAATAGATAGGTATATTAAAATATTTGTATTTAAAACTAAATTTATAAATGTTTTCTATATTATCATATAAATTATCCATTTAACCAATAGCTATTATTAATATTTTGAAGTTCTCCAAACTTAATATCAACAGAAATAAATTTAAAAAACATAGAACTTCAACTTTAGTAGCTTCTTCCTATTACAAAAGAAAACTTTTAAGAATCTTTTAAGAAAATTTATTGGTAAAGATTCTCTTCATTACAGCATCATCTTAATGCACTTTAATATTTTAAAATATAAAATACAAGATATAACATCCTTTCATTAAATTATTCAATCATTTTAAAACAAAAAAAATAAATACACTTTCTGGTAATTTTCTTTGAATTACTCAAGACAAATTTGCAATGAAGGAGATTATTGTAACATCTTAAAGCAATTTATATTTTGAAAACATTATCCATAATTACAAAATAATGCCTTCAAAATTTATTAATTAATTATATAATGTTTTTAAAATTTAATTACCGTATTTACTTGCTTATAAGAATCTCGCATATAGGACAAGATGTGACTTTAAAGATCAAAATAAAGAAAATTAGATTTATTAATACAATTTAATTTTATTTTGTTTAATCACAAGTAAAATGTCAAATGCACATAAATGCACACATTGTCCCACAAAAATTACTGACATTTTAAACTTTACGGAAAAATCTTGTAAAATCGAAAACATGTTAATGTAAAGCTGGACAAGAACCTTTTTTGCCAATTCTTAACAGTCAAATCCATTCTGTCAATTATATTTGTGAGTTTCTTTGAATTCTGATTTCTGAATAATCATCTGTTTTCACATGGGAATAAATTAAAACTTATATTGTGCTCCCGTGTGATTTTGAAATTTCAATCTTGAATTCAATTCAAAAGCTTTGCTTTTCCTATTGCTATTCATCTTTACTCCTGACATTACACAAGAATGATTGAAATAATCCAGATAAAATACTTTTGTTTTTAAACACCAGAGGGTGAGCATCTGGTAAAAAATGTGAACACACAGTTCACAAAAAGTATTGCAAAAATGCAAAGAATCCTTCGCTCCCAGTTTCCATTGTGGAACCTAAACTGAATCATCAATGCCATGCGACAGTATAATCACATTAACTGATGCAGACTGGGAAAAGAGGAGTCAGTCAGACTCAAGTCAAGATGTATGAAGGGTTAGAACAGTATGTGGGTGGTAGTGGACATAAGCACCTTTACAATTGAAACCAGGAGATGTCGATGGAACTTCAAAACCTGCGCTCATATTTTACATTATTATGGTTTCTGTTTTGACATTTGAGAAGTTTAACTATTACACCAATGTTTTTCTTTTGTGAAACTTTCCAGTTTCCCATTTTAGTTTAACGATCATTTGTATACAAGCATCAGAGTCAGAGTTTGAACATTCCAAACTGACAGTGATCTATTCTCTAACAAATGTCAGAGTTGAACTTGGAACTCACATTGTTTATGTTTGCATTGCTTCATGCCACATCAAGAGGTTCAAACTCAGTCTGGGACCTCACAACTGTGACATTTTCCAATAAATATGCCATCAGTTTTTGCAACTTAATTTTTCTTGTATTACACATTACATTTCAAACTTTACAGCACCCTCTATTGGTAATTTTTTAACTATTTTATTCTTGTTCCATTCTTCTTCCCTCTTCTGAAATAGTAAGTGTACCAATTTTGGTTTCATTTGGATTATTCCTTCAAGCTACTGACAGCTCCAAATAGAGATACTTATTTTATAACCATCTGGTATTTGTGTTGACATATCTTTCAGTCATGCATAGTAGGTTAGGTCAGGAAATACACACATGAAAATATACTTATATTTTTGTCCTATTTAGCCTAGCAGCTATCCTTTAATTCAGCGAGCCTCCGACCCATGGTCCTTGAAGCATGTTCATACAGCCCATGTAGCTTTTTTTCACTGGTATGTTTTATAAAAAACATTTGAACTAGTTAAAATGTTGTTGATAAAACATTCAAATGCAAACTTTTGAAAAGTCAACTGGAATTTAAAACCTTACTACAAATACATTTTATAAAAACCTATTTAAAAACAGGAGTTTGTTAAATTTTTACAAATCTCTGCCAGAAAAGAATATTTAAAAGTCTTAAGAAATTTGCATGGAGAATATTTTATATATTTTTTTCTATGCACCTTTGCAAAACAAACCTTTTTGAAAGTGAAATATATAAAATCAAAATGTTGAACCTCATTGTCCAATAGATAAACAATATAAAGAAGATTTTAATACTGAGTATCACAAAATTTATCCCCAATTTTGGTAAAATTTCAAAAATGCAATTGCAAATTTTACATTATATTACATTATAATTGGCTATGTATCTATATTTGAAATTTATCATCATCTGGTATTATATTAAATTCTTGAAGTTGCTCTTCAATTTCTAACTCTAATTGTTCTTTACTTCTAAGCAATTGCATTGCTGGAATCCAAAGCTGTCATTGTCTTTGATATTCGTGAGTTAATACTCCAAATCCTTACTATTCTGGGGGTTCGAATCGTTTTTCCTTGCTTTATTCTAGAAAACATCCCAGTACCAAGTGAAGGCTTTTGTTCTCCTACCCATTTATAAGTATTGTACTTTCTTATCATCTTAAGTTTTGATCCCCAAAGCAGTAGCTATTCATCCTATGTTGATGACTCATTTGATCTTAATCTGATCCAGAAATTTGTATGTTACAAAGATGTGGTATTGATTAATCTTTATTTCTTCAGAGGCTCGTCATTTTGAAGTTTAGATCATTTTCCAACCTCTAGAATTCTTTAATTTTTTATGACTAGATAAGGCCATAAAAATTTCTAAGACATTATAGCTTTGCTTATTAAATCCCAAAACTGAATGAATGAATTTAATATTAACACTAACCTTTATCTTCAATTGATATATGTTAATCTCAAAACATTTTCATTTTGAGATTAAAATTAAGCATTATAAAAAAGAATGTAAACTCCAATACTTAAATTACCTTCAAAGAATTATTCTCAATTTAGCACATGATCCTAAAACTTTTTGGCAAATACTGTAGTTCGATTTTCTAAATCAAAAATAAAACGTCATCATCTTATCAAAGAAGATAATGTATACAGCATACTTAATAATATTAAATCATGTTATTTTAAATTACATCTTGAAACACAGTATCAACCACTAAGTGCAAGAAATATGAATATTAATCAGGTTTTACTCCTTCTAGTTGTCTATTTTCTTTTCTCTCTAATGCTATAAATTTGCTTGCTAGATCTAAATATAGTCCTGGTAGTATTTCTTCTAATTTTTATAAGAAATTAGTGCCTTGTCTGCCTCCATTTTCTTTCACCTATTTCTCCAGATTCTAGATTTTGGCTACATACCTGCCAATGGATTCACTCAGTTATTTCTGTTGTCCCAAAAAAAGAAATCAACTCTTATCATCCAATTTCTTTAGCCCCTGCCATGTTGAAATTACTTCAAATCTGCCTATATAAAATCATCTATCTCCTGATTACCTCCCGATTACGTCCCATTTATGTCCTGTTCAATATTCTGGTATAAAACATTGCTCTACTATAAGCAATCTCCTCAAAATTCAGCATATCATTCTATCAAATTTCAAGTTAAAACTTCCTAGCTATGTGGCATACATCAATATTGCAAAAGTTTTTGATTCTGTTGTTTTAAATATTCTGTTAGACAAATTATCTTCCAAATTTGAAATCAATGACATTGTTTTGATCTAGCTTAATAATTTTTTCCTATTACACATTTGTCAGATTAAGATTTACAATTTTTACTTTTTGCATTTTCACCACTGATAGGAATACCTCAGGAATATCCTTAGTAATCTATTGCTCACAGTCTATATAAGTAAAATATTTTCTAGATTTCTTCTTCATTCACAAATGCATACATTGATCATATTAAACTTGCCAATAGTTGTCATCATTCATTATAATGCAATATTAATAAACTTAATACCTTACTTAAGAAGTTAAATTTACAAATAAATTCTAGCAAGACTAAAATAATGACCTATAGTCTGGTAAAAACACCAATTTTCAATACCTTTTTTTTTATCAATAATCAAAGATTGGAAAAAGTTGAGAGTTCAAGATTTAGGTATAATATTTGATTCAAAACTCTTTCAAACTGCATATAGAAAATTTAATTAAACAAGTAATCAAACACCTATACATACCCAAATTGTCTATTAAATTATTAGTATTATAACAGTTTCTAGCCCAATAATATTCGGCTTTGGTAGATGGATAGCTTTAATTAAACAAGCCTCAAAGTTTTGCCAAAGCATTCCCTAGGAATTAAAATAATTTCTAGTAAAAACACTCGTAGAGTATTATTTTTCACCAGCATACAGTCTAAAGTAGACTATGCCTTACCTATTTAGGCTTCCACTTCTCTATCTACCTTAAATAAACTTTATTCAGAATTGGCTAAAATTTACATCTTACTTAACAAACTTTCTAACCTTCCATTTATAGACTGTCCAGAAGTTGCACGTGTTCACCTATTTTTAGAAATACATTAAAAGTATATATTCAATCGAAATATTCAAATATTTTAATGGTCCATTCCCATCCAAATAATTTTACCTTCACATCATTTGTCAATATTAGAAATATAACTTGTTTACACTCTCCATATTGTCATCATCATTAAATCTTTTTTTTATCACTACCAGAAAGCTGCCAAAAAAAGTTAAAGATAAACTTTACATTGATTTCACTAAATTTAAGGGTATTTGCAAAAAAATACTTTATTATATTTAATTGTTTTATTTTTATGTTTTATTCCTTTTATTTTTGTTTTATCAAATTTTTTTAAAAATTCATTTTACTGGGTCTTTTCCTTCATTGTTGTATGGAGGTCAGCAAACATTGTCTGAACAACATCGCCAGTAATATTGTAAAAGACTAAAGAATTAACACACATCAACTGAAGATAAAGGTTAGTGTTAATATTATAAATTTTGTTAATTCTTATAACTAGATTGTTCATAAATCTAGTAAATCTAGCTAAAAACTAGCAAAAATTAATGTACAACTTGTTCAAAGACATCATAACTGTGTTTGGTAGCTCATGAAATGTGACCACTAGAATAGTAGCCATATTGTCAGTTAATAACTTTAAGAAAATTAAATTTTAGAAAAAAATAATATAATTTATTGAGAATTGAGAAATGAGAAATTAAAATGATATTTTCTCCAGAAAAAACACTATTACCTAGCAGATTGCATCATATTGGCTCTTAAAGAGACATTGGCATCTTGTGATGCAATATGATTTGTCAAGATCCTTTCCATAATTTGCATTTTGATGTAATGTTTGAAAAATGTTCTTATTGTTGCTGACTTACTACACAATTGTCACATGTTGTTTTTGCTGAATGATATATTTTATTTCACTGAATGTATCAATTCATTACTATTTGGCATTTTTTAAATGAATTAATCTTTTGTCCCTGGATAGCTATATAAGTCAATATTTATATATCTATCCAGGTACAAGAGATTATTTCAGGTTATTTTACCATTGGAATAAGTATACACCACATGTACACTTGTGCAATAATGGAAAGGTCTCTTCTGCTTCAGAACAGATGTTTAAGTGGACACCCTGTATATCATAATATTAAAAAAGTAATCTAAAAATTTATTGCATTATAATTTTTATAACTCATACTTTACTATAATAAATATAACAACTTGAAACTTAATTACTTCATAAATTATCATCATCCTTCCAGTTAAGTACCATTTATTACAATGAAGTTTCTCAAATACAGACAGTGAATTTGTATGCATAAAACTTAATTTCAAATATCTTATATTATTTCAGTAAACATATAAAAATAATTAAACTACTAACCTGTCATTAATATTGTGATTAATGTTATTTTCTTCAAAGTTTTCACAGTCATCATCATCATCGTCGTCACCACCAACACCAATTTCTTGTAAATCATTATCTATCAAAGTAAACAACATGCTTTATATTAACATATTTTACTATATCCACTAAAATTTTTAAATATGAACAATTAAAGATGCTACATTAACAATTAAATTTAGTTAAATTTACTAGTCACATTTTAACAATTAATATTTGTCAATTACAGAAAAATCTTAAATCTTCAAAAAATAAATTGTTCTCAATAAAATCTTCAATATAATTTTAATTCCATCTTCCATTAAATAAAAAGTAAAATAATATTGAACTACAAAGGTATTGTGGCAGCCAGAAATCCAAAAATCTGACTGACAACACTATCTATAATGAAAGTTAGTTGGCAACAGTTGTTCTCAGCATGTGACATTCACTCTGTCTATGTTTTGCCCAAGGGTATGGATATATAATACAGTTGCTCAGGGCCATGTATAATAAATTTTTGTCACAGATCATTTGGTGTTGGAGTCTGATTTAAACTTGGATCTCATGTATGAGATCTGCAAATGCATTGGCACTCAACTATGTAATGTTAGTATTTGGAAAAAGATCAGTGCCAAAAATGCCAAAGTATATATCGATAATCTAAAACTAAAGCATATGTTTTGCTCAACATATAAATTAAATAAACAAAAGTAAGAGTTTAAAATATTAACTATAATATTATAATGTAAAATTATTATTATAAGTGTATAATAACATAAAATATTAAACTGTAGTAATATAAAATAAAAGTTGAATATAATTTCTGTAACTACATAACACTTTGAAAGAACAAATTAAAACTTATTTCAAATTTTTAAAAGTTTACATATGAAAATATTAAATTACATAATGCTGAATGGATTTTTAATGTCAAAACATTGTAATTATAAAACAGAAGCAAAAGCCAATGTACTAAAATGAGTTTTTAAGATTATTTTAATATGATGCATGTTTTGAACATTTATAAATTTCAAATTATTCATTCTTAATTTTTAGCTGTTTTAGTATTGTTTTTTTTAAATTTATCTATGTTACTACTTAATACTTTTTCAATTTTAACTTCAATTTAAACTTATTATTACTTACTTATTATTATTTATTTTTTAACTCTTTTTTACTTGAAAATTTACTTCTTTTAAGTTGCAATTATGAACTCCTTTGTGTCAATTTACCAAAATTGTCTTTAAAAAAGATGAAAAATTATTTGCCATTACAGTTTTTCTCAAAACTATCAAAGGCACATATACATATAGCTCACCTTTAGTTTTTTCCTGTTTGTTTTCTGTATGTCAATCCACATTTTAATTCATATTATTAAACATTCCTACTTTAATTCTACCTTGTAAGTTGATAAATTTCCAGTAATTCCTCTTATCTATATAATCATTCAGAGAACTATTTAAAAATTTCTATTTAGAAGCAAACTGTCAATTTTGTTCTATTATAATTCCTTATAGTGAATAGAAGCTGAATGATTGACTCTAGAATTCTCATGTCAATGAATGTCATCAATATTAAAACTTTTATACTAAAGTTTTTTTGCTTATTTTAGCATTAAGTATATTATATAATAAATAAAACAGAAAAGTAAAGGAAAAATAAAACAGTTTTTTGTCAGACTTGTCATATGATAGCACTTTTCTCCTTCCACCAGAACTCCTGTCACATGATAGACTAAAGAATCATTGTAAAAGCTAGCTCACATTGATAATCAATAGCAACAATGAGAAACCAGAAAATGATTTTTATTTGCTTAGCAAAATTAGTTCACGATACGAAATGAAAAAAGTGAAAATTTTCAACTTGTTAGAGTGGCAGAACAATTTACTAAATAGAAAAATTCATCAGGTTGGAAAACACAACTGAGAAACATATAAATGGAATTCAACTATATGTATAAAGTAAAATAATTATAAAAAATTGACAAATATCGAAGAGAGGAGAATACCCGAAACGCAAATGTGTAGCACGGCATTCTAACTGAATAAAGATTGAAAACTTGCCAAGTGTTGATAAAGAAGGTCACTTCATTGTGCCAGTATACAAACAAAAATAACTTAAATTTCTATACTTTTTATTAATTTATAATTGAATTCAATGCTAAATAAACTTGATTTTAAAAAAATGTATTATATTATTATTAAATATTTTCTGTAATTGTTGCAAAGTTGCACAATGTTGCAAAAAACTCAATGCACCCCTAAAAATAGAGCAACAGACTCAGAATTTGGTGTGCAAATACCACTTGGCTAGATGAGTAATTGGATTAACCTTCTGATGACCAGGTGAAATTCTGAAACACAGAAAGCCATGTGAGGTCAGTAAATGATCTCTCTTGTAAACGCTCTAATTTATTTATAATATGAAACAAAACACAATAATTAGCTATACACACATTTAATAATACATAAGAAAAATATTTTATACTAGGAAATGAAATAAAATACTTGTAAGGCCAGGTTTCTTCTCATTATATTTCTAGTAAGACATCTTGTTACAGCAGGTTTTTGTCTTGACCACTGTGTTCTGTCTCTGCTCACAATTGTTTTAGAATTAGCTCTTGCACTGGTTCCATCTGATAATTCACTGTTGGTATGTGTAGATGAATTGGATAATTCACAATCATCCAATCATTAGTTTCACTAATGTCTTCTAGTAATTCATCTTCATCTTCTGATATTTCATGTTCTTTAGGAATATTCTCAAAATCTTCATTGGCTATCTTTTAAGTTCACCCTGGCTCAAATATTTATGTGCCATTATTCAGCCACAACTGACTATAAATGGACAACAAATCATAAATGTGTGAGGCCCTGGACAAGTCTGAATCTTCCCTAAAATTCATGTTAAAATAGGTTTTAAAGAAGAAAAAGATAGAAGCTAGACAGACATTTTTTGTTCAAAGATGCAACATAAACTTTGTAAACAAAAAAGGAATGCAAGTCCTAAGATCGACCATCTCCAGTTGGGATATCAAATTAAACTTCAATTCTGACCTCTCCATCAATCTAAGTTGGGATCCCGTACACATAGTAACGAGTGATCAACCAGTAGGAGAGCAAGGACAAGGAAAAACGATCAATCAGAATGGACAATCAAGGCTGGGAATTAATAAAATCTCCAGACTTCAAGGACAAAGTGTGCAGAACAGATTCCTTATGATTTGTGCCTTCCAAAAAAACCTGTGTCTGAGGCAACATCATTATCACCCAGGTTCAACCCGTCTCCTTGCCCATGTCGATTGACATCCATCGTGCCTTCATCTCTCACCCGCTGGACTCGTTTCATCACCACCCCAGGGTTGTCATTGACTTACGTCTAGGACACATCATCACCACCTTCAAACTTTTCTCTTTACAGCGACTGCCATTTGCAGAAAGAACTTCGTTTCAAATTCTATGTAAGCAAAAATTTTACTTCAAATCAATGGAATTTTTTTAAAGGTGCCTTGCATCAGTATCACTTTTGCCATCACTCACATGGTTTGACACCTCTTTTCCATCCTAATGCAAGATTAAAGATCTCCCTCCCTCTCAGTCAGCAAGCTCACAAATGCAAGAAATGTATAGGCTAAAAAAAATAAAAAATATACAATAAGTTCTAACAAGCTTGTAAGTAAGTGTTCACATATGTACAGTACATATGCTAGAACACATTGCACCAAACCTTCTTTGTAATATCTTCTAAACAATTCTCCAATGTTAGTTATTATCTTGATAACAACTAACATTTTTGATCCTTCAACTGGATCTTCTTCAGGTTGAACATAAATGTTGCATTTTAAAAATGTTCCATTAATGGAATGTATCTCCAGATTAAATTCACTGCGTGATGGCATCGTTATAAAGCAGGACACAAGATATTAAACCCATTTCTTAATTTTTAAAAAAATTTTAGAACAAAATATTAAACCCATATTAATTTTTTTTAATTTAACAGTTAGAAATGGATTTAATATCTTGTGTCCTGCTTTATAACAATAATGTCATGCAGCGAATTTAACCTGGAGACACACTCGATTATCAGAACACTTTTAAAATGCAAAAAGGCATTTGATTAACAAAACATTTTAAAACACAATGTTAATGTTCAACCTGAAGATGATCCAGTTGAAGGATCAAAAACGTTAGCTGTTATCAAGATATTAAGCTACTGGAGAATTGTTTAGAAGGTACTACAAAGAAGGTTTGATGCTATACTTTCATTCCAGTATTAATAAGTGTGAGTAGAACACATTGCTGCATTTCTAACATGTTTCTAAGTTCTTGAAATACCAATATATGCAATAAATAGAATTGAAAAAATTATACCATTAACAACCACATGGGATCAATTAATAGACCCAACTCCAAAATATATATATTTTTTAAATACTTTAATCTTTTAGAAAAAAATCCTAAAATACTGTACAGTACATTATAAAATAATGTAAAACTCAGGTAAGAAAAAAACGATAACAGTAAAAAATATTTTTTAAATGAAATGTTCAGAAAAAACTGGCATTGGAGTAGTTTTATTACCCAACCTAGTCAACAGAAGGTTAAAAATTCTTTGCCAATAAATTTTTAATGTCACTGGACATTTCCAGAGTGCAACAGAAGACGACATTTTGGTGTTCTTATAAAGAACACTTCTTATAAAGAACATTGTTTGCACTGATATACAGATTTGACAGGAATTGCTGTTTAATTATGATTAGTAGTCTGAGAATGCCTTAACAGCTTCTCTGTGAAACTAATCAAGTTTAAGAAAGGTTACATCACAGCCTTAAGACAAGTCAGCTGGTCATGCAAGATGTGTAGGCTGCCATCTTGGTTAAAGTGATATGGCAGTAAGATGACGATGGCAGCAGCAAGTCTACTGATGGTAAGTAATCTTAATCTTGTCTGCTATTAGACAAAAATACAGTCAACCCCCCTATAACACTGTAGATATGTTCCAGATTTTATGAATCCATTTTCTACGAGTCCTTAAATACATGAGCCAATCACAGTCTGGCACATATGCAGTTTACGGACTGCAGCTATTTGAAAGGTT